TTCTATTTTATTTTATTTTATTGGACAAAATCAATGTAAAAAAGTCATGCTATTTGTAGTACTTCAAAGAAGTATAAATATGCTTGAAATCTCCTTCAGTGAAAAAAAATTAATAATAATTGATCTTTCAATCCTAGAACTTTGGTAATAAAAATAACACTTTTGTAAAAATAGTCCTTGACTGTAATTAATTAATAAATCTGGCATGATTGATTGATTCATAACCCTTTCTGATAATTAATGGTTTGGCCAACATTTAATTATTAGTTAGGAACCCTTTCATTAGTTTTACTATATTGCTTGTAGGGGCGCCTCAAGTAGTTTAGTTGTATATGGTGATTTTAGTTTAGTTTGAACATTATTGGCCAGATTTGGGGACTCTGCAATGGAGTAGAGTTTCTACAAATTTTTGTTCTAATTATTCAAATCATTCATTTATCCGAATTGTTATCATTCGTTTAATATTCGAATTGGTTATCTTTTGTTTATTATTTGAATTGTTATCATTCGTTTATTATTTGAACTGTTATCATTCGTTTATTCAGATTGTTATCATTCGTTTATTATTCGAATTTTTATCATTCGTTTATTATTCGAATTATCATCATTCGTTTATTTGAATTGTTGTCGTTCATTTATTGAATATTCGTTTTGCTTGAATTATTTATTTTATTTCGAGCTATCCGTTTATTCGTTTATTTGAACTATTCGTTTTATTCGAACTGTTCATTTATTCGTTTTGTTTGAAATATTCGGATTATTCGTTTTATTTCGAATTATTCGAACTATACATTTTATTCGTTTTATTCGAACTATTTGAATTTTTTGAATTATTATTATTCGTTTATTTGTTTTATTTAAATTATCGATTGAATTATTTATTTTATTTGTTTATTGGTTTATTTGAATTATTCATTCATTTGTTTTATTTGAATTATTGAATTATCAAATTATTCGTTATTTATTTTATTTGAATACTCAAATTCATAACAAGTAAAACAAATAATCCGAATAAACCCTTATTCAAATAGAAGCAGTATAGTTGTATGTAGTGATTTTAATTTAGTTTGCCAGATTTGGTGACTCCAATAACTCTGATTGCATGC